GACAATTAGGTAATCAATGTTCAATCACTGATATGTGGACGACCGACCAATAGAGGTCTAGCTTTGAGTGCGCATTCAACTTTGGTGCACTGAGCGTCAGGTCTATTACCAGCAACTGTCTCTTTGACTGAGAGCTACTCTTCTTGGAATAATGTAAGTTTCTACGGAGGTCCGTGAGTTTGGCAGCTCAGTTCGACATCGTGGAAGAAATCCTCCTAGCGAGCGCCTAGCAGTTATGGCTGGCATTCCATGCAAAATGATATCCGCCTTCTGATGTCCACTTTCAACAGGGTCCATGCTTCATTTCAGATCCATATAGCAGAACAAGTAGCCAGCGTTAGCAGTATATAAAATTTGATCGAACGAAGCTGTGACTATCTGCAAATTGTCAGAGAGTGTCTGACAGAAAACCAGCTAATCCTTGAACATGGTACATGTCATTCATAGAAGCGGATTTGTGTCGAAAATAAATGAGTTTATTCGCAGTTTCCATCCCGTAACCATTCACTGCCAGCTTCACGTCAGACTGTTTCAGTAAAAGTCAAAGACATTATCCTCTCGGAAAACTGGAGCCTTAAATCCTTTAATAAATAAGCTTCCGAAATGGACTATCAGTTTTGATCGCATCGTTAACATGAACAGTTTCTCATGAATTTTGAAGCTGCCAGAATGCACTTCTGTCGTTTTTAATTTCAGAAACAGAGTGGACTGAATTCTATGCAAAAACGGTTTACTCCGACCTTGCCAAATGCCCCCCCCCATCCCTATTCAAATTTGATGCGTCAAGACTGTCAGTCAATCAGCTATCCTTGCGCATTTGGTTCCTGGGCACAATGAACGATTAGACTATCCGCAAGAAAAGACGGGCCGTTCTCATATTTCAGTGTTTCGTGTGCATCTGCACTACTATCTCTTCCACATTTCAACAGTTGGTGCAGAACTTTAAAAACAAATTACGTTAGCCAGCCTTCGACCTCATTTCCTCACGTTAATCCACCACCACTTTTGTTAGTCATTTCAAGACAAAATATAAAATCAACCAACTCTCAACGGTTAACAGGGCACATCTCTAAGGAAGCAATTTTTCTTCTGCTTTCCTACTTCACTTTGTAGCTCCACAACGCACAAATGATGGAGGTATTCACTACGAGACTTTATAATCGCTAAGTCGACGCAGATGACTGACTCTAGTAGAAATCTGCTGTCTGCATTACTAGCACAAAGAAGTGAGACGATACTCTGTGACTAGGGAAATTCAATAACTTGAATTGTATGACTTAATCGCATTTCGCTACCTCACGAAATGTATATGAATATCCAAGCGAAAACCGGGTGGAGCACTGCGTAGAGTAGGACAACGTATGTTTCCGTCATTCTGTGCAATGAACTAACAATCTAAACCTCCTGCTGCTCATAAATGGAATTAATTTTTAGAGATTTTGCCTTAACGTAAAAAATTTAATTTAGTCCTCAGTTCTGAGGATACCAGCATACTGATACTGTCTCTCTATTTTCTGAAAGAATCTAACTTGCACTTTTAATCTGCTTCGCCCATGAGTTTTCATATTCTGTTCGAAAAGTAGAAACGAATCCATCATGCTTCCTTTGGCAACTAACGTATGCAATGGCCTCTGATCGTTTCATCTTAAATTCGAATCAAAATGTCTTTTTCTTATTAGATCTGAATTAAAGGTACCAGAAACTCCGCAAACCCCTGGCTACCGCTGGTTCGTCAACGGACCGCTCTATTGTTCATAACGTGTCGTCGCGGGTAATGAAACTGTACTCATCTGTAGTTCGATTTTGGCAAATTGCCCCTAAAGGTAGTCACTGCTCCTCCCTCATATCAAAGGCAATATCGATGTTTTCAACAACAACGGATGACGTCATCATCGTAAGTTAACTCATCAAGCGTATGAGGTGATAATTCCAGCCACCCCTCTGCATGAGCCCATATCGACTACGAGAAAGCGTCTGACACAACCAAGTACAACGCAGTGTTAACTGCACTAGCAGAACATGGCACCGACACCCATTACACCAACCCGCTACAGGAAGCGAACTCTGAGTGTTTCACAAACATCATGCTGCTAGATACTTTCCTCCGGATTCCGGTAGAGAAGGGCGTGAATTAAGGGACACCGCCCTCCCCCCAACACTTCACTCACTGTTTAAAAAGATGTTCCGAGGAAGAGCTGAAAGGGTGGGATTCAAATCAATCAATCAAACAGCTCAGCCACCTCAGGTTAGCTGATGACGTGGTGTTGTTTGGGGAAAACGCCAGTAAAGTATAAGACATGAGAAACACTGCAATAGCCGGATTGTGAATCCGGTCAAAGAAGAAGATCGGGCAAATGAATGCTCTGCGTAAGTTCCATGAAATATGAAACGCCAAATGACACAAGTCGATAGAAGCTTTTGCCTACTTCAGAGGTCAACATGCGGCACGATCAAGTCTGAGAGACTCAACGAGGAAGGAATGCCGGTTTGCACGATTTATATTCCAGTAGGGACGTCCTCCTCGGCAACATGAGCAAAGAAACCCACGCCCTCCTCTTCAATTCTGCCGTCCTGCCGGCAACGTTGTACGGCTGTGAGAAGCGGTCCTCACTAAAGCCGAGGAACGCCAGATATCCATCACAAGGAGAACAACGGAAAGAGAATGCTGGAACTTCCACGTCGCGACCACAGGTCCAACACAGTGATCAGACAGTGGACCGGAGTGGGGACACTGCCGTTGAAACGGGTAGGGGGAAACAAAAGGGGGTACATTACTGTTAGCCAGTCACGCCAGCCAGTTTTGCTCACCAAAGGAAATGGCTGACCACCTGGTAGACTGCGCCACTTGATGACCCACCGCGACTTGGCAAACTTATGTCAGGAGCTAAGAAAAGCGTTTTCGGAAGGAGAAGGCTGCAAACAGCTAGAAGTAGCGGGCGTGTTGCTGCTGGCGCGATCCTTCGACGATTACCGACCGGTCTCCAACCGACGCTTATGTCGTGTGTAGATAAAGAAACACAGTTTCCTATACTCTCATTAGTGTTTCTTGTCAATTAGTCCAATGTGGTCCCCTGGTATAAAGACACTCCCAATAAACGAATGAGACTTTCTCTAGAACAGAAGTGATTCGCAAAGCATAGAGATGAATGCCATCATCGACAACTGAAAATGAAATTCAGAAAAAAGGAAGTTGACTGAAAATGGTCAGAATTTTCTCAACCATCCATAATATAGACCAGTGTTTTGCCTCCGATTTAGACATCGGAGTTCTGAAACACCTTCCGATAGGGTATTGGGGCTCCATTGCAGTTTTATAGTTTGTTTTGACATTTTTAACAGCAGCGTTACAAATGATGCGATTCATGCTCAGAATGGTGATTTTGTCTTCGCATGCACTGCTTCCAAGGAAGCTGCCAGAGGTAAGCCATGTTTTGTATGTAACTGTCATAGTCCCAAGTCAATTCTCACTCAGGCGTACACAACGTAACACTTCATGCTTACTCTGCGGGAAATTACTGACTGTGGCTCTTAAATGCTTGTATCAAAGTTTCATTTCTTTTGGCAGAGAAGACTCATTCTTCCAATGCATGAGGAGCTATGCTCTCACCCATTCAAATTACTTCATCAATCAAAAGTTTCACTGCTCAGACATTCCCTATGGATATCGTCGATTTGATATTTACGTAATCCTCATTGTATGACTGGATGATCATCAGATAAGCAATCAACTAGAAGAATACTACATTCTGTAGGTTGCAGCTGCCTCATGGTTGCTGTGAAGTAATCAGTCACACAAAACACAAATGGCAGTCAGTCAGTTTCCGTAATTATCCCCACAGCAGACAGTTCTTTTAGGGTTTGGAGTGGTTTGAACTTTCGGTCGATATCAACGTGAGTTACGAACGAAGCTGCAATTAATATGAAATTACATAGACGTTACATTGTCAAGGCACGTTAAGGATTCTGCCCTTCAGAGTACAATAAAGAACCAAATGTGGCTGAAAGTCAGCAAACAGCGAAGTCAATTAAAATGTCAAATTAAATTAAATTTTAGTTTTATTTTCACACAGAATGATCGACATAAATTCTCGGTTTTTATCGTACGCTGCTCATCACCCGTACATTCGAAAAAATTGAAAATATTGTAGCCGTTGTTTGACTAATATCTGTTGAGATGACAACATTTGACAGTTTTAAAATTCTGACGCTGATACAAGCCTCCCTCGCGACTCTAGTCTTCGATATGACACCCACACATTTTTCGAAGAATCAGGTCACAAGAAGATTGATTTACTTTCGTTGTCAGAAACTTAGCTGCCAGGCAACTCTAAATCTAATGGTTATGTGAATTTCACATAAAAATAAGACTTATATTAAACTGTTTATAATTTTCGGTTGCAAACTGGTTTGAATGGATTATTATTTTGGCGCTAAATCGACTTGGTCCATCTGGTATCGGTTGCGGAAACGAAATGAATGTAGGGTTTCACGTGACTTGCACTTTGGGAGGGTCATGGTGTAGTGTCTGCTAGATGATTGGTTGCACAATACCTCAGTCATCGACCAGTGTTGATTTACATTGACTTCCAATCAGAGTAGAGCATAGACCGCAGCGGTGCAAATGTGTGCGAGCGAGACGGAGGCGACACAACGTCACTGAAACTTCAGCCCGCGCGACATGTGATGTCGCATAGATCCTCAGACGAAGGACTATTTCATAAATCATCCGCTGCAATTAGCTCATCTGTAGCATTTGCCTTTAAAGATACTTGGTATGGAGGGAAATCGCCGAGTGACTGACGGCGAATGCTGTCTCACGAGCACTGGGCTGTAACGGGCGCTTTTCATGCTGGTTATGGCCAAAGCTGCGGATCAGTGCATAATGTGAATCCGGCAAAAGCCATCTGACAAAGATCGGTTCAAATCGCGCTTGTTGTCCGCAGTACTCGCAGTAGTCCACAGCGTTTTTCGCCGCTTAGGCACCAGATCAACTATTGGCAATGGCGTTCAACGTGGTCGGTCTCGTGTTCGTCATCATATTCTACGTGCTGATACTCCTGGTCGGTCTGTGGGCAGCCAGAAAGACGAAAGACAGTGACGACAGCGAGGAGGTGATGCTGGCGGGTCGTAGCATCGGGGTGATCGTCGGCGCCTTCACTATGACAGGTACTCACTTGTCATATCATTTATGACATTTTTTCAAGCGCCGCTATCTACGTTTGATTACTTTAAGCCACCTGGGTCGGGGGCGGCTACATCAATGGCACGGCAGAATCGGTCTACAGCTCCGGCATCATCTGGTGTCAAGCCCCTTTTGGATACGCGATGAGTTTGATACTCGGTACGGTACTCTTTACTCTAAAATATTGTCCTCGGTGGATCCATTTACGTTTCACTTGCAGGTGGAATATTCTTCGCCGAGAGAATGCGCAACGAAGGTTACGTGACGATGCTGGACCCGTTTCAGTGCAAATTTGGCGAACGCATGGTCGGCTTACTTTTCATCCCCGCTCTCCTTGGAGAAGTGTTCTGGTCAGCGGCGATTCTGTCCGCCCTTGGTAAGCACTCGTGGCCTTTCGACATCAGGACAGGTTTACGACGTTATTCGGTTTATAGGGGCGACTCTGACAGTCATCCTAAACATTCCAAACAACGTATCCATCATCATCTCCGCCTGCATCGCCGTTTTCTATACCTTCTTCGGTGGTCTCTACTCGGTGGCCTACACGGACGTTGTGCAGCTCATCTGCATCATGATTGGTCTGGTAAGGTCAAAGTCTCATTCACTGATACATTCCGAAAACGGTCGTTCTCAGTCATGCATCGCTCAGTGCAGCGTTTGTAGATTTTTCATAATGAACCAATGGCCAGAAATTAGAGTAACGCGAAACATGTGTCAAATTAGTTTTCGGCTTCCGCAGTGTGCTAGTTTTGGCCAAAACCTGCCTGCTGCCTTTCTTTCACATTAAAGGCATATCGGAGCACTAAAACTTTCTAAAAGTCACATCACAGCTCACAGATGATAAATGAATGAATATATCCCGCCTCTTATGTGCATCGTTTCCTTACTTGAACCTGACACGCAAATATAAGACGGTTTCTAACAACTCAAATTTAGCCTCCGTCAATATTTAAGGAAAAAAAATTATGGCTAATATGTTCAAAATTATGGCAACAGTTATAGTGCGGATTTGAATACAGAACCATCGAGAAAAAGCCAACTGGTCACAAAGAAATGCAAAGCAGTATGAACTGCAATCTGTGAGAAGGATGCTCATATAGCTAAGGAATAAAGTATCGTTTGACGTAATGCACCGCTCCCTTGCCCCTACAAGGCCATTT